TTAACATGACCATATCGTTGCTATTTTTTATTTTCACTTCTACTTTTTTATTTTTATTTTTCACCAACAACCCCCTCCCCTCCCCTCACTTCCCTTTCCCTAAGGGTTAAGCAAAAAAGATTTATTTAGCGGGGCGGTTTTAACCCAGAAAAACACCCCCGTCATTTCCGGGATAATTTTTTTTACTTTATCTATAAAAAAAAAAAAAAAATTCAGATTTTCCCCCTTCGTTTTTTTTTTTTTTTTTTTTTTTTTATTTCCCTTCCAAAATTTTAATCAAAAGAAAAACTCGAAGATATAGATAGAGAGAGAAAGAGAGAGATAGAGAGAAGGGAGAGAGAAAGGAGGAAAAAAAAATTAAAACCAAACCCGAGGGGTAAAAAAAAAAAAAAAAAAAAAAAAAAATATAACGAATGAAAAATAAATTAAAGCAATAAATGCGTGAAGGAGGAAATGACAGGATATAAAATTAGTTCGAATTTTTTTTTTTTTCATCTCTCTCTCTCTCTCTCTCACTCTCACTCTCAATCTTTCTCTCTCACTCTCTCTCATATTCTCCAGGTAAAATAAAATGTATTAATTTCAACTTTTCCTTATCTTTCTACGGTTTTTTTTTCTTTTTTTTTACAACGCTCCGACGATTTGTTAATTAACTTATTTGTTAATAATTTCCGTTGTTAATAAATAATAATAATAATAATAATAATAATAATAATAATAATAATAATAATAATAATAAATTAACGACCTTTTCCCTTCGAAAAACAAAAACAAAAAAAAAAATTAACGTTTGATTAATCATCGTACCTTGGCGATATTAAAAAAAATTTAAAAAAAAAACCATTCGCATCAATTTTTCCTTTTTTCTTCTTCCTTTTTTCCATTTTTTTCAGTACCATTGAGAAATTATAAAGGAAAAAAATGTTATCGTTACGTATAACAGAAATTAAAATTACGTAGTTATTATTATTATTATTTTAAATTCGTTCGCGTGTTTAAAACTTGTTAATTAAAATAAATAAATAAAAAAAAAATTTTCTTTTTTTTTTCATTTTCCAGATGTTCGTTCGTTCGTTTGTTCATTCATACAAAGTCTATTTAATTTTTTAACTTTTCCAGTCCGACTGGAAAAGTCAAAGGAGGAAAAAAGATGAAGAAAAAAGGAAGGGGAGAAGGGAGGGAAGAAATTTATGTATATATTTAATTATTTAATAAACGATTTCGAATTTTCTTTCATTAACATATAAGATAAACATAAATTTCTTTTTTTTTTTTGTTCCTCCAGGAATCTTCTTAATCTGGAGTGTTTATTTTACTAATGGCTTCTTTTTTTTTTTTTTAACCATCACCGAAAGAAGATATTTCAATTTTTCTAGGCGGAGTTGTTTAAAATTTATTACTCTCATGTATTTTCATCTCCAGATAGAAGAAAAGTGAAAAAAAAAAAAAAATAAGAAGATGAAGAAGAGGGAAGAGAGGGATCGGTTTTTATAAAAAATCTAAAAGAGGAATTTGTTTTCTCTCTCTCTCTCTCTCTCTTCAGAATATCAGGCGTGGCTGCTGGCCTTTTCCAGTAAGGGGAAGAGAGGAAAGGGGGGGAATTTTAAAATCAATATAAATCAGATTTATTTTAAGGTTATCTAATCTATTAATACTACTACTACTCGTTTTCATAACCCTAATAAATTTTATTTAGATTTATTATTATCATTATTATTGTTTTTTTTTTACCAGAAAGCAAATAATAATAATAAAAACCGGTCGCGTTATTTACGGCCTGGAAAAGTAAGTAAAAAAAAAAAAAAAAACAATCGATTCCACTATTACGTCATTAATTTTTCCTTTTTTTTTTAATACGAATTTGTCAATTATCGATTATTTAAAAAATTTTTCCAGTAATTTTCCAGACATTATTTTTAATTTTTCTCCAAAATTTAAAAGATTTTAAATTTAAAATAAAAAAAATGATGATAATAATAATAATCTTATTTGAATTTTCGTCGCGTTATCGATTTCCGATATTTTTTTTCCAGAGTAAACCATCGATTATTATTATTATTCATGACCGCTGGACAATTTAAATAAAAAAATTTTTTCCAGAGGAAATTTTTAATAAATTTAATTTTTTTTACTTAAGAAAACCAACGAAAAAAAATGACGGGAGAGGGAGGGGAAGAGAGGGGAAAAAGGAAAAAAAAACAAAACGGGTTCTGGAGAGAGAGAGAGAGAGAGAGAGAGAGAAAAGGTTTTTCTAAAAAATTTATAAACGGTGAGTGAGAGAGAAAGAGAGAGAAAGACGTTTGAAGATAAAACTTTTTGATTAATACGTAATTTAGGTTTTTTCTGGAGAAGAAAAAAAAAGAAGAAGATGGAGAAAAAAAAAATTAAAACGAAAGCATAAAGAAAACCTCTTTTTCTCCAGTCGAGATTTTTTTTAAAAGCGAAAAAAAACCATGGAAAAAATTTATAGGGAACCAAAAAAAAAAAGGAAAAAGAAAAAAGAAAATCTTTTTTTTCTTACGGAGTAAAAAAACAACCAAACAATAACAAACAAAACAAACAGAAACAAACGAACAAACATTTTTCAACAAAAATCGTGTGGAATTTAGTTTACGCCGAATACAAAAATTCAAACGCTGGAAAATATTTATTTAAATAACATTTAAAAAAAAAAAAAAATCAAACCCTTATTTATCATGACTTGTAAAATTTGAGAATTTTTTCATCCCTTAAATATCATCCCTTATTCACGCGCACGCATCTTTTAAAATAAATTCAATTTTTTTTTTTTTTTTTTTAATATTTGCTTACTAACGATTTTTAATTTTTTATTATTATTTTCCCCAAGCAGGCGGTGGTTACGTCCTCGATACGAAAAAAAAAATTATTATTTTTTCTTTTTTTTAATTTGGCAAACCTGCGTGACTTTTTATAATAATAATAATAATAATAACAATGAAAAATTAGTCACGAATAAAATAAATAAATTAATCTTTTTTTTTTTTTTGTTTTTTTTTATCATATCATTTTTTTTGTTGCCCCTCGCCCCCTACCCCCTCGTTCGAATTATTATCGGTAAAGGGTATAACCCGGTTGGATTTTTAAAACTTTTCCAGCACGAAAATTTTTTTTCCTTTTGTTTTCTATCTTCCAGTTTTATAATATTCGTAACTGGAGAAATAATACACGAAATCATTTACGAAACGAAAACGATAATAATACAAAAATTAATTTTGTTTATTTCCCCCCCCCCACCTCCAGTTTTTATTACAACTGGAATCATTTTCTATTTTTCCAGATAAAAACGTTCGGTACGATTTTCCATTTGAAAAAAAAAAAAAAAACGCGCGCTTTTTTAAAAATCTGACACCTTATTATATACACACGTTTTTTGTAATTTAAATCCCCGGACAGAAAAAAAAAATAAGGAAAATTTTTTTTCTTTTCTTTTTTTCCTTTTACGATAATATTAACTAACGAATATTATTATTATTATTATTATTATTATTATTATTATTATTATTATTATTATTATTATTATTATTATTATTATATTCAAGGGGGAAAAAAAAAAAAATTTTTTTTTGGGCTATATATCATCCGCCCTTTCGTTTGGTTAACGTATTTATTTCTTTTCGAAGACGATCATCAATCACTTTTTCTTCGAAAGGAAAATTCTAGAAAAACGAGGTTTTTTTTTTTTACTATATAAAGGATTTTGGTTCTCTCTTTTCCTTACCCTCTTTTCTTCCCTCGGGAGGGGGGGGAAAAATTTTTTTTTTTTTTTTAAATTTACAACTTTTCCTTTTTTTTTTTAATAAAAAAAAATTTTTCTTTTTTTTTTTATTCGATTTGTTTTCCATATTTTCAAATTGAACAAACATTGAACAAACGAAAAAATGAAAAGGAAAGGAAAGGAAAAAAAAGAAAAAGAAAAGAAAAAGGAAAGAAAAATAAATATATAAACACGAGAAAAAGGTAAACGATTCGATTTTCCTTTTTTTTTAAATAATTAATGGCGGGGAAAAAGAAACCTTTCGAATTACCCCTTTTTCCGTTGTTTGTTTGTTTGTTTTTTAATTTTAAAAACGTCCTAAAGAGTGCGCGAAATGTGGAGAAAAAAAAGATTTCGCGGTGAAATTTTTTTTTTTTTTTTTTAAATTAAAAAGTCTCGCTATTGAGTCACGATAATTTTCCAAAAAAAAAAAAAATCGATTAATCGATTAACTTTCCCAACAATCGTATCGATTCCTTATTTATTATTTAAGCGATACCTCGGCGGGATAATAATTAAATGACGTCATAATCAATACGTAATAAAAAAAAATTTTTTTAAATCAGACTTACCCACGAGTTTGGACCACTGAGCCGGAGGCCTCCAATCTGGATAATGTTTTGGAAATTTATCCCTCGTCCAAAACGTGTGTAATATCACTTTGTAAACGGTTAATTTGTCCGGTTGACAGGATTCTGATATTTTTCCCGAAGGCACTCGCGTCACTTGGGCAACCGCTATCACATAAAACATGGACACCAACGCGATACCACATTTCAGCACTTCCATACTACAAATCATCCTTTTGTTTGTTTTCATGTTGTTACATTTTCTTAATAAAATTTCCATGATTTCTTACACAATGATTAATTATTATTATTTTAATTTGTTTTTTTTTTCTTTTTCTTTTTTGTTCTCCGCACTCGGAATTTTTTTCAATTCACATTTTCTGTTAAAAAAAAAAAAAAATTAAAATCAATAATAATAATAATAATAAATAAATAAAATTTTTACGCTTAAAGTTTGCGTGCGTTATCATGCGTGTACGTTTGTCGTTAAATGTTTGTCGGTGTATTTAAATAAAAAAATTTAATTTCAATATACTCTATGAAAAATTCAATTTTCCTTTTCTCTTTCCTTTGAGAGAGAAAAGGATAAGAAAGAAAAAGGAAATGAAATAAATAAATAAATGAAAATTTTTTTTTTCTTCCGATTCTCGCGTTTTAAACTTTTTGTCGTTCGTAATTTTTTTTTTTTTTTTTGAATTGCAACAAACGATTTTTTTTTTTTTTAATTACACTCTCTATGGAATTGTACAATCGTGTAAATTTTATATAATTAATCACTTATTTGAGTAATTTAAAAAAATTTTTCTGACCTTTTCAAAAAAAAAAAAAAAATTATTTTTTAAATTACATTCATCAGTTGTATTGAATAATTAAAATCCTTAATTATTACTATTATTATTATCATCACCATTATCATTATTATTTTAAATTGAAATTAAAAATGCATCGTGACATTTCGTGACCTCACACCACCCCCATCCCCCACACGACCGACACATTTTTCTAAAAAAAAAAAATTAATTAATTAATTAATTATACGTTGAAAATTTTTTACATTTTTCAACGACGCCATTTTCTTTTTTGACGATTTTTTTTTCGAGTTATACGCAAATACAGCCTAATAAAATTTGTTTTAAATTGAATAATAATAATAGGAAAAAAAAAAAAAAAAAAAAACGTTTTCCATATTGTTTAAATCCCCACCCTCCCTAAAAAAAAATAAAAAAATTATTTTTAAACAAATGTCACATGCAGTTTTTCGTTTCTCGAATAAATTGATCAATGTAAATATGTTTTTTTTTCATGTTAACTTTATAAAAAAAATATAATTTATGAACGAGCATACGCACGCACGCACACTCTTTCTCTCTCTCGCACACACACAGAGGCACATACTTTATCTCTCTCTCTCACTCTCATATAGACACACACACAAATTCTCTCTCTCTGTAATGTAAATACCCACACAAACACTCTTTCTTTTTCTCTTTCTCTTTCTCTTTCTCTCTCTCTCTCTCTCTCTCTCTCTCTCTCTCTCTCTCTCTCTCTCTCTCTCTCTCTCTCTCTCTCTATCTCGCACGCACGCACACGCATTTGTAAAACGCGTTTAATTATATTTTTTTTTTCGAGACATACATAAATCAAAACAGGAGCAGAATAAGGATCTCACACCCTACCTTGACCTATCAATCATATTACGAATAAAAATCGCACCTGCATTTTTTTTTTTTTTTATATAAAATTTATATGCGATAATTATATATTGCAAATTGACTATCCTAAAGTCATAACATTGACATTTCCATAAAATTATTATTATTATTATTATTTTTCCACTAATAATCGATCGATCGATCGCTCGACACCGACATTTTTATTTAAAAAAAAAATAAAATCTGACGCAAAAATCTAACGCGTGATTCATAAAAAAAAAAAAATTAATATTTATTAACCAGAAATTATTATTATTATTATGATTATTATTATTATTATTATTATTATTATTATTACTAATATTATCATTATTATTAAGTATTATTACCCATATTTAAATTTTTATTACTTATTATTACCTTAAACTAATTCGAATAATTTAATTTATTAAACACACACGTCACCCGACATAATTTTTCTTTTTTTTTTTTTTCGAACGATTCGCATACGTCATCGTTTCGTCATCAACCACAACAACAACAACAACAACAAACAATAATAATAATAATGATAATACAATTATAAAACGATAAAAATTTTTTGGCGGTTCATTAACTAACTTTTTTTTGTTTTGTTTTGTTTTTCCACCGCAGCAGCCATTTTTCTTTTTTAACTTTCGTTTGTTTTTCTTTCTCACTCTCTCTCTGCCTCTCTCTCTCTCTCTCTCTCTATTTCCTTCTATTTATTTATTTTTCAAAGGATTATTTTTAAAAATAAATAAGAGAAGATAAGACGGTATAGATAAGAAGAGAAAACGGTAAATCACATCGAGTAAAAAAAAAAAAAGTTTTCCTTTTCCTTTTTTTTTTCAAGGAGGGAAAGAGGGGGCGGGGAAGAAGAGAGGGAGGGAAGGAGGAAGGGCAAAGAGGAGAGAGGAGGGAAGAATGGAAAAGGAAAAAAAAAATTATTAGGTTTTGAAAATTTAGTCTAGGCTCGGTTCCAATCTCGTTTCACCTCTTTGAATAATTTGTGTTTTTTTTCGTTGCGTTGCCAACAAAACAAAAAAAAAAAAATTTTTTTTTTTTTTTTTATTATTCTATGCTTTTATTTATTCCGATATAGCAATAACTTAAATAAAATACATTTTGACGGTTAGCAGAAGTAAATAACAAAAGACTAAGAGAAAAGTCATAGAATAAATAAAAATTTTAACGGTTTTTCAGAGAGTGAAAAAAAAAAATCAATTTAAACATGTTGAAAATTTTTTTTTGTTTGTTCGTACGTTAAAAATTGTTTGTACGATCGTTTGTTTGATAAAAAAAAATTAAAACCGTTAAAATTCAAATAATATATAAAAAAAAATTTTCTTTTTTCTCTTCGTAACTCAATAAATCGCTTAGTTCATTTTAAACAACGAAAAAAAAAAATAATAATAATAATAATAAAAATCGTAATTTCCGTTTTACAAAAAATAAAATAAAATAAACGTGAAATGCAAAAATATTTTTTTTTTAAAAAAAAAAAAAAACCGTTACACAATATTGTACATGAAAAGAAAAAAAAAGAAAAGTGAACACGTTTGAGTTTCATTTAATTTTTTTTTTTTTTTTTTTCATAAAAAAAATAAAATAAAATAAAATTTTAGAGAGCGGAAAGGCAGACATTGCAGAAAAAGCTCTGCTTAAACTTTTTCAATAGCTTTTATTACTTTTTATTGTAATTTCCTATGATTTCAAATACAAAAGGGAGAGAGAGAGAGAGAGAGAGAGAGAGAGAGAAAGAAAAAGAAAAAAAGAAAAAAAGAAAAAATCTTTTTTTTTCTTTCTTTTTTTTGCCTTCTACGTTTTTTTATTTTTTTCCTCCTAATAAACTTTTCGAAAAAAAATAATAATAATAATAAAAACTTTTAGTGTGGCAGATTTGAAAGAAATTCGTCGCGGATTCGGAAAACTATAACTTCCGTTATGACAACAGCAATATTGATGAACAGTTACGTAACACGCAAACAAACACCGACAAACAAAATCCTTTTATTATTTTAAAAAAATAATAATTTAAACCTTCCTAAGACAAAAAAAAAAAGCTAGAAATTAATGACGTGTACATGGAAATGCGAGAAGTAAAACCGGAAATGATATACGTCATCGTGGAAGCAACACCGCAATTACAAAATGTAAATTTGTCGTCATTTGTAAAAAAAAAAAAAAATCAAATCGCGTTTTGTGCAAAAGTTTATTATACTCGTCCTTTTTCAAAAGCAAAATCAATAATAATAATAATAATTATTATTATTATTTCAAAGGAATCGAGTGAAAAGTTGGAATAAATTCTGGAAAATTTCAATCAATTACACGAAATCTATCGCGTTCAAAGACAAAGTTTTTTTTTTTGTAAAACGTCGGCAATTTTGTCGCATTAGCGAAACATCATAAACTCCATTTTGTATTGAATAGTTTTAAAATTCTAGCGACAGCAACAACAACAACAGCAACAGCCGGAGGAAAAAAAACCTTAATCGCCTAATAACTATTAATAAGCGTTCTCATTAAAAATTACTCTCGAAAATCGTTTCACGTTCGCCATATTTTCATTTTTCCTAATAATAATAATAATAAAATTTACATGGGATTGACTTCCTTCACTTATTATTTTTTTCTTTTCATTACGATGACAAACGAATAGAAAAAAAAAAACATATTTTCCATTCGCCATTTTTTTTTTTCGAAAATAAAATAACGAGGATTTGAAAAAAAAAAAAAAACGACGAATCGATCGATCGATCGTTATTGAACGTTATTACCAACGTTACAAAAATAAAAAAAATATAATAAACGTTTAAACTTATTAACAAGTTTTGAAACATTTGAACCTTGTCAAATTCTATTACCTAATATGATAAATTGTCCCGGTTGGTAATTTTTTTTTTTTTTTTTTTTAATAAATCATTTTTCGATCAAATTTTTAATTAAACTCCTTTCCTTTTTTTTAAAAAAAAAAAAAAAACGTTTACGAATTTTTTTTTCATTAAACACTTATTAATTATTATTATTATTATTATCATTATCAATGAACAAAAACGCTTTACGTGTGCGGCCGCAAAAAAAAAGGAAAAATCTTCGTTCGACCGTGAAAATCCGGTCGTAATATATTTTACAAAAAAAAAAAAAAAACGAGTTCGTTCGAGAATCGTCGATTAATCGATTGACTCGTCTTTCTCGTACGCTATAATATGCCTCCGAGTTTTAAAATTAAATTTTTCTCCGCGAGTAAAGGTCTCGAATATATATTTATATTTTTTAAAACGAGTATTTTTTTTTTTTTAAATGAGATCCAAAAGGAGGTAATAAATTATTTATCGCCACGTCGTAATTTTTTTTTTCTTTCTCTTTTTCTTTTTTATTTCCACGACGGAAATTTAAAATGATAATAATAATAATAATAATAATAATAATAATAATAATAATAATAAAAAGGGTAAATTGACTATTTGAACTTGGTGAGTGGAGGAAAAAAAAGGAAAAAAATACAAGACGAGAATAATTATTTGTGATTGAGGTTTTACATGAG